TTGATGCCACGGCACCTCACTTCTACGCCTGGCAACAAAGCCAACAGACTCTGTTCCTTTCCAAAAACGAAATAGAAAAGAACTATACAACATGAGTTAAGAAACTGAATTAATTAGTGCTTCAGAATATACTACGGCCAGAAGAAATAGTAACGTTAAAAAAAGAAACAATAGAACTGTTAAATCCAAGAGTTCCTTGTAAGAAAAAAAGAAGATAAACAATTAGAGAAGCATCTATACGACAGAAAAAAAAAATTCAGCAGTCAGAATTGGAAACTCAACAACTAATACCGAGAATTAACCAATCTTTAAGCTGTTTCCTTTCTGTTCATCTCTTGCAAAAATATTTCGAAACCTGGTATACTTACAAGAAAATACAAACGAATTAATCCAGCAGGCAGATACGAAAAAAACCATCAATAGGCAATAATCTACACATGGAGAAATTACAGAAGTTTGATGAACGAATCCCCTGTAAGCTTTCAATAGGTGGCCAATGCTTCAGCCCATCTGTGAAGATTAAAGACTTTTTTTTTAATCAATTAGTATAAACGTCTCCAGAATCAAATACGAGAAGGAACTAAGATTTTTCTTTTTTAAGCAATAACCATTGGTACACTCATCTGGTAAACGCACAAAACCACACTACAAACACATGCTATCTCCAGAAATGCAAAAGTCATGGTCACATTAAGGACAATCTATTTTGAATGTCTGTCAATATTTGCAACTTAGGACAGAGCTGCTCATGTTGAGGCAGACAACAGTGGGCTTCACACATCTCAGCACTCTGGAAGGACAAGGCTGGAGGAAGCTCGGTCAAGGTTCAGAAAGTTCGAACAGCTGAAGCAAGAGCTGAGACCCTGTCTCCCTCACTAAAAATCAGAACACAAATCAATGGCCAACCTAAAAATTATATACCGAAAACAACAATCAGCTCTGCGGCATGGTGCCGCAAACTGTAGTCCAGCCTACATTGAGAGGCCTTGAAAGGCAGGCAGGATTGCTTGAAGCTCAAGGAGTTTGAGGTTGCTGTGAGCTAGGCTTGGATGCACAGCACTCAAGCGCAGGGCAAACAGAGTGAGACTCCTGTCTCACAAAAACACAAAAATATATATATATATTCATACTTTATACTACTACTACTACTATTATATACACAGACACTTTTTTAAAAATTCAATTAGTATACAACTTTCACATCACATAGAGAAGAACTGAGCTTTTTCTTTTTAAAGCCAATATTAACATTGACATCATCTGGCTAACGAGCCAAAACAACTAGCAGACACACTGGCTTTATCTCAAGAATGCAAAGAATGGTTTCACATTAGGGCAGAATCCTATTTGGAAATATTTGCATTCGGAGAAGCAGGGTCACATCCTTTCAGAAGAAATCACTTGAGGCGGGCACAAAGTGGCTTCCACGTCTATAATCCTAACAGCAACTGCTTGGAGGCAGGCTGGCAGAAAAAAAAAAAAAAGTTTAAAAACTATAAAACTATGTCTTAAAAAGTCTTCTTGTGTATTTGTGTGTGTATATCCAGATACACACCAAGTAATAGCCTATAACTACACATCACACACATTCTTCAGTTATTGAAATGATGCAATTTGTTTAATGGATAATGATCTTAAAATCCTTTAAAACTATCTTTAAATACTATTCTTAAGTTATTAGAAAACTTGCTGTTTTATATTCTTGAATAAATGCTTACATATGTTTATACAGGCATATACATGCTGGTGTGTGCAGAGAAAATCAAGTGATAAACAGAAAATGATAACAGTAGATTTACTGAGTCTTGTTTCTGATGGTTGAGAAGTGGCATTTAGAAAGATGACTTTTTATTACTTCCTTTTTTTTTTTTTTTTTTTTTTTTGAAACAACAGAAATTTATTCTCTTACATTTCTGGAGGTCTGAAGCCCCAAACAGGTCTCAATGAACTAAAATCAAGGTGTCAGCAGGGCTACACTCCCCCTGGAGGCTCTAGGAAGATTCCCTTTTCTTGTTTTTTCCAGCTTTTAAAGGCTGCCCGGCCAGAATACTTAAATCTAGTTTCATAATGCTACTTTTAAAGAGTGGTATATATATTTAATAATAGTTATTTTTAAATAATGAAATACATACTGATTTTGAAAAGGAAAAGCCAGTAACCATCTGTCTGAAATTTGGTGTGGAAGAAAGAGAGATGAGCTGAAATACTTCCTGAGCACATTGAAAATGAAGATGTTTAAATGTCGAATGAAGGTATAAAGAATTTTTAGGCTGGGTATGGTGGCTCACTCCTAACATCCTAGCACTCCAGGAGGCCGAGGCAGGAGGATCATTTGAGATCAGGAGTTTGAGACCAGCCTGAGCAAGAGCAAGACCCTGTCTCTACCAAAAATAGAAAAAATTAGCCAGGCATAGTGGCACATGTCTATAGTTCCAGCTACTTTAGAGACTGAGGCAGGAGGATTGCTTGAGCCCAGGAGTTTGAGGTTGCTGTGAGCTAGGCTGATGCCACAGCACTCTAGCCTGGGCAATAGAGCAAGACTCTGTCTCCAGAAAAAAAACTTAACATTTCATAAGAAATCTATAAGGCCTATATAGAGAAAACTACAAATATTTGATGAGAGATGTAAAGATTTGAGTAAATGGAAAGACGACATAATCTTGTGTTAGAAATGTAGACTTGTGGATTCACCCCTAGTTATTGCAGTCATTATTGTGATATTAGAAATCCTAATTTGAATAATATTTGGTGGTTGTCAAATGATTCTCAAATTTATCAGAAAGAATAAAGGAGAAATAACCAAAATAAACAAATTGAAAGAAATGGAAAGAAAGTATTTTTTTACTAAATACTGAAATATTATTTCAGTGAAATATTATTACTACCAGTAATGACAACTGCACTATTGTCACTGGAATAGACTGACCAGTGGGAAAAAATGGGAAATCTAGAAGCAGGCCAAAGAATAGATGAAAATGTAGTGTACATTAAAAGTGGTGTTTAATTTAGTGGGAAAAGAATGCATTGCTCAGTAATAATTGGCTAAAAATTTGAATAAAATTAGTTATATTTATCAAAAACACCATATACAAAAAGAAATTCCAAATGGTGAAAGATTTACATGTCAAAATAAAACTATTTAAGGCCATCCTCTCCCACAAAAAGAGTAATTACATATAAAATGTTATGGGAAAGTCTTTTTTTTTTTTTTTTTTTGAGACAGTCTCACTCTCTTGCCCAGTCTAGAGTGCCATGGTGTCAGCCTAGCTCACAGCAACCTCAAACTCCTGGGCTCAAGGGATCCTCCAGCCTCGGCGTCCCAGGTGGCTGGGACTACAGGCATGTGCCACCATGCCTGGCTAATTTTTTCTATTTTTGGTAGAGATGGGGTCTCACTCTTGCTCAGGCTGGTCTGGAACTCCTGAGCTCCAGCAATCCTCCCACCTTGGCCTCGCAGAGTGCTAGGATTACAGGCGTGAGCCACCGTACCTGGCCTAGGGGAAAGTCTGTCTTTACACAGCTGCAAAGGTTGAATATACAATGGAAAAGATTGGTGAATTTGACCACATAAATTTTCATTTTTTGTTTAAATAAAGATACAAGTTATCTTATGGTTTGTTGCTTTATAGTCTGTGACAAGTTGTAAGATACATACTATATTTGTTCCACCAATATTACTCTCCATAATTGTTTAATTCTTAAAATTGAAACAATCTCTTTTTCCAAGTGCCATTTGGGTGTCCATACCCCAGTTCAGCAAGAATGTTTTTTTTAATTTCATCTTAACTTTATTTGAATGTATTTGAGGTTTCTTTCAAAGATCACAAGCATGTTTAAATTAATAATGTATACATTTTCTGAAAAAAGGGTGTAGTTAGTAAAATACACTAGTTCTATCAGTATTAAATCATAATAGCATGTGGTCTTCCTAATGTGCTTTTTTTTTTTTTTTGCCAGTCAAATTTAGCAGTGGGGGGTTGAATACCAATTTTAAGTGACACTAATGTTAATAAGTTCTGATAACCCACTACCATTGGACCAGCCCCTAATGTGCTTTTAACATGCTCATTTTAGATTTCAGTATCTGAAATAAAAGTGACCTCTAACTGAACATCTGTCTGCTGTGCTAATAAGTAGATCTCTCTGCTTCACAGCTTCTTCTCATTACTTTATTAACTTATCAGAGTGCCCAGGTGTTATGAAGTCCAGCTACCTATATCATTCCTGCCCCTGGTTGAGCTTATTGCTTTTTTTTTTTTTTCTATCTTTTCAGGTATCTGGCATAATTTTGTCCTTGCACTCTTGGGTATTTTAGCTCTTGTTCTCCTCCCAGTAATTCTCTTGCCATTTTACTACACTGGAGTCGGAGTGCTTATCACTGAAGTTGCTGAGGTAAGTAATGAATTAATTGGGGCATTCTTTCACCAGATGTTGTGATGTAACACTTAGCATTTAATGTCAGGAACTTTTGTTCAAGATCTCCTTGTGTACAGAATGCTCAGTTTCTTCCGAAGAAATTAATCCTTTCAAATCTAACAAATAATGCTGCGAAATACGTTGACTTTTTTAAAGATCATGAAAATTGTTTTTGTTCTGATTTACAAATATAGTATCAAGATTTTCTACCTGTAGTTTGTTGATAAAATGCATAATTTACCTTTACTGTTTAGTTTTATATCTCTGCTTTTGAGTCAATTGTCTTTACTCCTAAGAAGAAGGATGAAACCTAGGCTACCCAGACAGGACATTTTATGGGAGTCTAAATTAATAATGTTTTCAACTCTATATTTTACTCCCTTAGACTATAACTGCCATGATGACATCAAATCATCTATACAGACATTGGGAAGAGGCAAATTACCTTTGTGAGCAATTGGCTTAGATAGTCATTGTGCTGCTGGTATTGTCTGCATATTTGGGGCTGTGTTTATATAAGGATTTGTCTTATGGTTTTATCCACTGAGGATATAGGATAGTGAAGGCAGTCTAATGACCATTTTCACGGAAAATTTTAATTGGCAGTTTGGGAAAAAACTGTGTCATTTTAATCTTAACAGTCACTAAGTGGATTCTTTATCAATTGTAAAAAATTCAAAATCTTAGAGAATTGGGAAAAGCAACTATAATTGGGGGTCCTATTTTGTTAACTTTCTAGAACTATATGTCTTAGATTCAAAGCTGGATCATTTTCTGAATTCAAAATATTCTACTTAATTAACTCAAGGTCTTTAAGAATTATTTGCTCAGATTAATCATAGCTTATCTTCATGCATTATCTGATTTGGTTTTACTCTGTTCCTAAGGACTCACCTGCCATTGGACCCAGAGGCCTTTTCGTGGGAGACCTTGTCACCCATCTACAGGATTGTCCTGTTACTAACGTGCAAGATTGGAATGAATGTCTAGATACCATTGCCTATGAGCCCCAAATTGGGTACTGTATAAGTGCATCAACTTTACAGCAGTTAAGCTTCCCAGTTAGAGGTATGTATATTTCCTCATTATAATATAATGCCTCAAGCACTAGTACCTGCCATTCACTAATCCTTAGACCATGTCTATAGATTTATTTTGTTCTAGTCTTTTTAAAGCAAATCAGTAAAGTAAATAGGTCCAAAGTAATAGAATTCGTCTTGGTAAGTGAGATACCAATATGTATGTTTCCTTTATTATATATTGTTGTTAAACTTCTAACTACTTTCATATCATATTTGACTCTCAGGACTCTAGTATGTAATTTTTTCTGCTTCAAAAAAACTTTTATTAGATGCCAGGCGCGGTGGCTCACGCCTGTAATCCTAGTACTCTGGGAGGCTGAGGCGGGCGGATTGCTCGAGATCAGGAGTTCGAAACCAGCCTGAGCAAGAGTGAGACCCTGTCTCTACTATAAATAGAAAGAAAGTAATTGGCCAACTAATATATATAGAAAAAATGAGCCTGGCATGGTGGCACATGCCTGTAGTCCCAGCTACTCAGGAGGCTGAGGCCCCAGGATTGCTTGAGCCCAGGAGTTTGAGGTTGCTGTGAGCTAGGCTGATGCCATGGTATTCACTCTAGCCTGGGCAACAGAGTGAGACTCTGTCTCAAAAAAAAAAAAAGGAACTTGTATTAAATCAGCATTCAAGTTCAACCATAACCGAGTAACTAAATTCCAATAATTAAATACTGCCAATATAATATTATCTTTATGTGTGTGTAGATATATAATAGTATCTTAATTTATACCTCTATAATTTTAAAAAATTAATATAAGTAACAAGAAGCAATTCTCCTTTGCATAAGCTCATGTTGGAACAGATAAACAACTGCTAGATAAAATCAAAGCATAAGGATTCTATATTAATATATTGTTAGCCCAACACAGGCATATGATAAGGAAAGATTAAAAGAAATAAAAGCAACATGCAAACACAAACCCCACCTGAGATTTGGAAAAGATTCCTTTGCTTCTTCTGACTAAAATATATCTACACTTAAACAGTTCTAGTGGTAGCTGTGTAGATGATGGCATGCCCGAAGCTATTTGGGGTAGTTGTTTTATGTGGCAGATATCCAGAGGAAGTTATCCTGGCTTCTGAAAATAACCTGTGAAGTCAGATATGTTATTCTGTGTAGCAGGTGACAGGGCTGAAGCAAATTTTTTCTCAGAACCTTTCAAACTTATGAGTTCTTTCAGCTCTGAAAAATCAGCCTCCCAACTCTTTATACAAAATTATGGGGACCCAAATTATTGAAAATGTTGGAAAATACAAATTATGCTCACAGACTATATCTTTAAGTCAAAAAATGCCATAGATGGCCGGGCGTGGTGGCTCACGCCTGTAATCCTAGCACTCTGAGAGGCCGAGGTGAGAGGATTGCTCAAGGCTAGGAGTTCAAAACCAGCCTGAGCAAGAGCGAGACCCTGTCTCTACTAAAAATAGAAAGAATTTAATTGGCCAACTAAAAGTATATAGAAAAAATTACCCGGGCATGGTGGCGCATGCCTGTAGTCCCAGCTACTTGGGAGGCTGAAGCAGGAGGATCGCCTGAGCCCAGGAGTTTGAGGTTGCTGCGAGCTAGGCTGACACCACGGCATTCTAGCCCAGGCAACAGAGTGAGACTCTGTCTCAAAAAAAACATGTCATAGATACTTGCCCCTATCTACTGGTGTAGGGAAATGTGATTAATAATCAAGAATAATTTTACTAAAGTATTGTGTACAACAAAGACAAAGTAGTGAGAACTGATTTTTTAAAAATTTTTTCAAATTTGGTCTTCCAGATAGAACCCCATTTTAAGAACTTTTTTTATCTTAAAAATTTTTCAGACATACTTAAAAGAGAGTAGTATAAATGAACCCTCATGTATCCTTCTCCCAGCTTAAACAGTTATCAACATTTTGCCAAGTTTTTCATCTAAGCAGCCCACTTTTGGGGGAAGTATTTTAAACTATATCCCAGGCATCCTACCATTTCATCCATAAACTTCAGCCTGCCTTTAATAGATGATGACTGGCCAGGCGCGGTGGCTCAAGCCTGTAATCCTAGCTCTCTTGGAGGCCGAGGCAGGTGGATCGCTCGAGGTCAAGAGTTCCAAACCAGCCTGAGCAAGAGCGAGACCCTGTCTCTACTAAAAATAGAAAGAAATGAATTGGCCAACTAAAAAAGAAAAATAGTTGATGACTACATACAACATAGAAATGACCACAATACTGTTATCACTCCATCACTCCATTAACAGTAATTCCTGATATCCAGTTGGTATTCAGTTTTCTCTCTTTTAAAATTAGAGTTGGTTTCTTTAAGTTAGATGGGATGTCTTCTAAATCTCTTTTAATCTGTAACAATTGCCCTTGACCCAGTTTTTGAAATGTCATTTGTATGTTAAAGAAATGTAGTCATTTGTTTTGTTGAATTTCCCATATTCTGGATTTTTCTGGTTATATCTTATCCTCATGATGTCACTAACATGTTCAGATGTCCCCCAATTTCCTATAAACTGGTAATTAGGTCTGGAGGCTTGGTTAGATTCAGAATCTGCTTTTTTGGGGGACAAAAATATTTCATAGGTAATACTTGGTACTTCTGATTGCATCATATTTAGAGTTGTCCAGTGTCTGCTGTTCTCCATTTTAGCAATGAGAAGATTGTTCAGTGAGCCAACCTGATTCTTTTTTTTTTTTTTTTTAGCGTATTATGGGGGTACAAGTGTTAAGGTTACATATATTGCCCGTGCCCCCCTTCCCCCTTGATTAAGAGCTTCAAGCGTGTTCATCCCCCAAACATTGCTCCTCTTACTCGTGCCAACCTGATTCTTTAAGGTTGAAATATTTGTAAATTTTCCATAGTCTCAAGAGCCATTTCCTATCTTACAAAACTTTTGAAATGACAGGTTGATATGTAATCCACAATGTGTTCTTTAAGAGAAATAATACATTATTTCACACATCTTAAATCCTTTATCATTTTCCTCTAGTTTTGATATGATGTGTATTGAATTACAAAAACCAGAATAATACATTAATCAAATAAAGTTCTCTGCAGTAGCACTGTTTTATTTAGAATATCTGCATTTTCAGATGTTTAAGGTTTTATCTTTTTCTTGTGAGACAGAATATAAATGAAAATTTTCCCTGAAATACTCTGAAACTCTTTCCTTATTCGTTTTTTAAGTATTTTATTATTATGGGTCATATGCTCTATTTTGGAGATATTTCTTTAAATATCTAAAATAGATATTATTGTTTCCACACTAATAACAAATCAATCCCAAAATAATTCTTCTTCACTATCTACTTCAGAATCAAACCCCAAATAATTCTTCAATATCTGTTTTATCTCCTTAGGAGCAACTATATCAGTATAAGTATTTATTTTATCTGATGACTGTATCTGATAAACCTATGCCTCTGTGTAACCATTTTAAAATTGAGTGCATTTACTTAGCCAGTTTAAAGGATTATTAATGTCTATAAATATTTAAAATACATACTAGATTAATTTTAATGGCAGGCCTAGCCACTGGGGCCATGGACATTTAAGAAAGGTATGGCTTGCCGGACGCGGTGGCGCGCGCCTGTAGTCCCAGCTACTCGGGAGGCTGAGATGGGAGGATCGCTTGAGCCCAGGAGTTCTGGGCTGTAGTGCGCTATGCCGATCGGGTGTCCGCACTAAGTTCGGCATCAATATGGTGACCTCCCGGGAGCGGGGGACCACCAGGTTGCCTAAGGAGGGGTGAACCGGCCCAGGTCGGAAACGGAGCAGGTCAAAACTCCCGTGCTGATCAGTAGTGGGATCGCGCCTGTGAATAGCCACTGCACTCCAGCCTGGGCAACATAGCGAGACCCCGTCTCTAAAAAAAAAAAAAAGAAAGAAAGGTATGGCTTGATGGTATTTTATGTTTCCATGTAACTTTGTTGCCCTTCATTATGAGGAGGGGTAAAAGATATGGCAATACAAAGTGGCCAATAATCCAAAAGTTATTAATATCCAATTTAGAGTAGAATTCAATACACATAAGTAAATTCTAGGGATTTACACTACTTAAGAACAATAAAGTCAACTTGGAAAGATCGAACCCTGGAAGTGCTCAGCTGTCTCCGCCAATCATCCCTGGCCTCTTATTTCATACCCTGACTCTCCCAGTATAGTATTAAATTTTTTAAGATATTCTGTTAGATGTTAATTAAGAAGACTAAACTGTTTCCTTTAAATATTAACAGGGAAGGCCGGGTGCAGTGGCTCATGCCTGTAATCCTAGCACTCTGGGAGGCCAAGGAGGGAAGATTGCTTGAGCTTAGGAGTTTGAGACCAGCCTGAGCAAGAGCGAGACCCTGTCTCTACTATTTGAAAGAAATTAGCCAAACAACTAAAAATAGAAAAAATTAGCTGGGCATGGTGGCGCATGCCTGTAGTCCCAGCTACTTGGGAGGCTGAGGCAGGAGGATCCCTTGAGCCCAGGAGTTTGAGGTTGCTGTGAGCTAGGCTGACGCCATGGCACTCTAGCCTGGGCAAGAGAGTGAGACTCTATCTCAAAAAAATAAAATAAAAATAAAATAAATAAGTAAATATTTATTATATAATAAATAAATGTTTATTATATAAATCTATAACAGGTAGATTTCTAGCAAATTAGAAAAATGTGATTAATCTACCTGAAATGACTGTACATGATATAAAATTGTTAGGACCTGCATTTTTCTTCTGTTAATCCTTTCCCTTTTGTTTTTCAAACATTAACCTGCTTAACTACAAACATCACTGACACAGCCAAACCTGTTTCAATTCTACCTCTGCCCTGTGCATGAGGAAAGCATAAGCAGCTTGTCCTAATCACTCTGGAGATTAAATGACCTTCCTGGAAAGCCCCAAAAAGGACACTGAATGAGGGCTTGGAGCCTTTTGCACCTGGAATAGATCTCAGGTCTCATGCTCAGTCAGAACAGAAAAACAAAACTTTTCCCCCATTCATATTCAAGCCTCTGCTTTTAGGATATCTGGGTGTCCATATGCCACTTAGTGATTTGAATGGAACTAAAAGTTAGAGACAAAAACTAGTATGGCTGTTTGGGGGCACTCTTTTCCTAACAAGTAGCTTTTACCTTCTCTCTTTGGTTTGAGGGGGCACTCTTCATTTCATATATGCATAAAGCTAATTCGTTTTTTGATGAAAGCATTGTCTTGAGTAAGGAAGACTGTCCTCAACAAGTCCAGCATTTGAACTACGTGCTGGGAGCATGAGACAGAATACTAAAGGTAACTGCTACTTAAAGTGAAGCTGTGAGCCCAGGCCCAGGTATCTACCTGGAATAGTCTATATTCCTATTCAAAGTAGTGAAAGTATATGCCCCTACCTGCCTGGCAACAGAAATATTGTCCTGTCTTACATATGTTTAACCAAGTGAGAAAAGACCCTTCTTGACCTAGTTTAAGATGATAAAAGTAAAACTCTGAGAATATTTTCGACATTGAATATTCAGATTGTTTTTATGCCCAGATTTTCTCTAATATTAAAAAAAAAGACTTTTTCCTCATTGTGAACACCAAGTTTTGATCCAATGTTTCTTTGCTATCCTAAATTGAAGAGTGAGGGTGTATATATATGTGTATATATGTACGTTTATGTGTGTATGCATGTGTGTGTGTGTTTGAAATTGAACTACTTGTTACTAGGCAATGCTGGTATGAAGTCTGCCATAGAACTGAGAATAAATAGGCTCTCTTTCTTGTGTTGGAGTTCTAGCTGCATCTATATATTTAATAAGCTAGGGTAAGAAAATTGTTCAGTTCATTTTAGAGATATAGAAAGTGGTGGGGACTGTGAATTATAGATTGAAAAAGTTTCTTCTCTCTAGCCTTTTTCCAAAATCACTTCTGGTCTAGACTATCTTTTGAAAACTAGACTATTTCTATGACTATCCTAGGGCCCATCTTAGGATGCATTCGGAATATATAGGTTTTCCCTATAGTAGAATTGTGAAACTGCTCTGGTCTTAAATTTTTCTGATTGTCACCCAGACAGGGGATATTTAAGGGGATATTTAATCTCCTAGAGTTAAATTAAACCCATGAATGACCCCGGGACATCCCATTGCAATCTTGAATGCTCCTTCCAAAGTAGAATTGGATTGGCCTCTCATGATTGATAGTACACGAATGTAAAAAATTATCTGTGGCGTCCCCATCTTATAGGTTAAGAATTGAGTCACAGAAATTGGTTAGGCGACTTGTCCTTTATGTGACCCAGTAGAAAAAATTCTAAAATAAAATATTTTTTAAGCCTATAACTTTTTAAAAAATTATCAAAGACAAACAGAAACATCAAGTTACTTCTCACTTGGAAACAAAATATTTAACTCTTTATTGGAAAATTCTGTATGTCAGGAAGTACTTAATCTTGTCAGGGAGGCCACAGCCGTGGATTTATGTTTTGATTGGAATAATCACCCTAGGAAGAACCCCTAACCCAGAGATCACAAATTGATGGTAGCCTACCGGCCAAATCCAGCCTTAGCAGATGTATTTGCTTTGGCTTGCCCAGTGTTTTTTGTTGTTGTTGTTTGTGTGTTTTATTTTGCCCAGTGTTTTTTAAATTTTTAATTCACTGCCAATATTTAAACTTCAAGAGGTTTCACGTGAGGGCCCAGATTTCTGGTTTCTCTTGGAACAAAACGGAAGATCTATTGATTCTGGGACCCAAGTTGAGTGGCCTAGCTGCTAACCCCTTAGAACAGAGTATATATTTTCTAATTCATGACAGTCCCTTCCAATTCCTGTTTTTTCCACACAAATAAATGATCCACTTCATTTATTTGATACCTGCTTGGCCCCTTTAAGCATGTATATTACCAAACATGCTATATCAATAGTGATAATAAATTCTCAACTTCCAATTCTGTATTATATATAATCCTCCAAGAAAAGTTAGTGGTTAAGCATCAGTTGTAAATTTTTTTAAATAATGACTGATGCAAAAGCAAGTAGTGTGGTACATTATTTATGTATCCAATGTATACTGAGTAATACACCTTATATAAGACATTGAGAGGCTGGGCACGGTGGCTCACGCCTGTAATCCTAGCATTCTGGGAGGCTGAGGCAGGAGAATTGCTTGAGCTCAGGAGTTTGAGACCAGCCTAAGCAAGAGTGAGACCCCATCTCTACTATAAATAGAAAGAAATTAGCCAAAAACTAAAATAGAAAAAATTAGCCGGGCACTGTGGCACATGCCTGTAGTACCAGCTACCTGGGAGGCTAAGGCAGGAGAATCACTTGAGCCCAGGAGTTTGAGGTTGCTGTGGTAGGCTGACGCCACAGCATTCTATCCCAGGCAAGAGAGTGAGACTCTTTCTCAAAAAAAATAAATAAAAAGACACTGAAAAACCTTTCCCTCAAGGAGCTCACAGTCTAATCAAAGAAATAGATTATTACAGTACAAGGTTAAATTTAAGTAATGACAGGCAGTACTGGGAAATTATGACAGCCAGTCTTTACTGAGAAGATGAAGGCAGGTTTCACAGCAGCAGACCTTGAGTTGGACCTCAATAGTCAGTTAAATTTTAGGAGGCCAAGATGAACATGAACCTCATCATCATCACAGAATAGAAGGTGGTCAGGGAACTGCTAGTAATTCAGTTTAGCAAAAGAATTATATAAGATAAGGTGGTAAAAAAAAAAAGTGGAGGCCTTTAAGTTTTAGGCTATGGAATTAAACTTTATTTGGTAACAGTGCAGTCTTTGGAAATTTTGAATTAGAGAAGTTATATTCTCAGAGATATACATTGGAAGCTTAATCTGAAGCATTCAGTATGTAGGACAAGTTTGCATATGATAGGTAGATGGGGAGCAAACAGACTTATTAGGGATCTGTTCAAATGGGTCAAGTGAGAAGGAATTTGTCTACACCCAAGTAGGAATACATAAGGAGAAAAATAATGAGGATATAAAAATTGGTGGGACTTGGCAACTGATCAAAGAGGACACTGAGAGTTTTAGCCTGAATTGATTAAAAAAAAAATCCTAGGCCGGGCGCTGTGGCTCACGCCTGTAATCCTAGCTCTTGGGAGGCCGAGGCGGGCGGATTGCTCAAGGTCAGGAGTTCAAAACCAGCCTGAGCAAGAGCGAGACCCCGTCTCTACTATAAACAGAAAGAAATTAATTGGCCAACTGATATATATATAAAAAAAAAATTAGCCGGGCATGGTGGCTCATGCCTGTAGTCCCAGCTACTTGGGAGGCTGAGACAGAAGGATTGCTTGAGCCCAGGAGTTTGAGGTTGCTGTGAGCTAGGCTGACGCCACGGCACTCACTCTAGCCTAGGCAACAAAGCGAGACTCTGTCTCAAAAAAAAAAAAAAAGATGTCTTCCTCATATAATCTGCTAAAACAAAGCAAAACAAACAACTATTATAAAAACAAGCAAAAAATTTTGGCTGAAATACGAAATCCTTATAAAATCACATTGCAAATCACGTAACATTTTCATACTAAGTGCTTCCGAAGATACTCTTGTAATAGAAAAGCTTTTTGCAGTACTGGAAAACAGAGATAACTTTGCTTTTGAGACTGTTTTCCTCACCACATCTGAGTATAGTAGTTTGTATTCAAGATTCAAATTTATTTGGTCCTTGCCACACATCAATCCATGCTTTATCAGTTTGATGTGTTGGATGCAAGAAACCTTCCAAGATAAATACATGAAATCATTTTTTGTCCCACCTGTATCAGTGATTTAGCTTCCTTATTTTGCCCCAGATACAAGTGAAGCAGTCTACCAAAGAGCTTTAAAAAAATAAATACTGGGAATAAACAGTTGCCCCATTTCTGTTGACTTCCAAAAATAGTAACTGGATTACTGGCGTGCAGACAGATATATACACATCTGTGGGTCAAATTAGGTTTCCCTGGATCTGTAGGGAAAGCCCTAAGGTAAGCCTGGAGGTAGAATAGGTATTTGGATATAATGGGAATATCTTAGACATCCTCTGGCCCCCTCTGTTTGCTAACACCACAGTGCAGGAGTTCAGAAATAATGTTGGATCAGTGGCATTAGGGCACATAATGGTGGCTCATTGGGCCTGGCACGGTGGCTCACACCTGTAATCCTAGCACTCTGGGAGGCCGAGGCAGGAGGATTGCTCAAGGTCAGCAGTTCAAAACTAGCCTGAGCAAGAGTGAGATTCCATCTCTACTAAAAATAGAAACAAATTAACTGGACAACTAATATATATAGAAAAAATTAGCCAAGCATGGTGGCACATGCCTGTAGTCCCAGCTACTCCGGAGGCTGAGGCAGAAGGATTGCTTGAGCCCAGGAGTTTGAGGTTGCTGTGAGCTAGACTGACTCCACACACTCTAGCCCAGGCAACAGAGTGAGACTCTTGTCTCAAAAAAAAAAATAGTGGCTCAATAAATGTTTGTGTTTGACCAGCTAGAGTTATTACTGTGAAATCTACTGAGACACTGGAACTCCAGTTTTATGTGTGGGTAAGCTTATATGAGGACAACTAACCTGGGTTAAGCGCTGCTTCTTGATTTCAAATTGAATAGATCTCTCTTTGGAATGTAAAATGTAACTGCAGCAAGTGGCCTTCAAGCTGAACTCTGAATTATAAGTTGCTTCCAAATTCATGTCCATTTTACTTATTCTTTTTGTCTTAAAAGCAAATTTTTCATTACAAATGTGCTTTTATGTAACAGATTCTAATAAACACTGTATTCCTCTTTAGCATACAAACGGCTAGATGGTTCCACTGAATGCTGTAACAATCACAGCCTCACAGATGTGTGCTTTTCCTACAGAAATAATTTTAATAAGCGTTTGGTAAGTTGTCCCTGAGGCAGTCTTTCTTGTCTGATAATTACTACAAAATAAGCATATAAAGCTAAAATGGAATCTGAAAACTTCTCCCTTTTTCTCTATTTACTTTGTATCATTTTATTAAAATCTCTGCATTTCAGATGTCACATTGCATCTGAGAATCTTTAAAAATTTATAGTGGTAATATCTTATTTGTCCAAAGTGGGATACCTGAATCTACTTTATAATAGGTATATATAAATAGCATTTATTTTATATAAATTTCATTCCTAATATGCTAGGTGACATGAAAAATATTGAAGGAATATAACTTAGATTTTTCTTGTTAATAAATCATTTTTAATATTGACTAAGTAATATTTTATTTATAGCATACATGTCTACCTGCCCGGAAAGCACTTGAAGCCACCCAAGTTTGTAGAACCAATAAAGATTGTAAAAAAAGTTCAAGTTTCTGTATAATACCTTCTTTGGAAACTCACACTCGCTTAATAAAAGTGAAACACCCACCTCAAATTGATATGTTGTATGTAGGACATCCTCTGCATCTTCACTACACAGGTGGGTATTATTGTGGTAGCCCATTAGAAAATCATTAATATCACATATATTCTTAGTGGTAGAAACTCAGTAGAAATCCTTGTATTAATTTTATTTATTATAAATTCGATCACTTATCAAAAGTCTTGTTAACTTGTTCTTAAGTATGAAATTTAGACAGTAGGAAGATAATCTAAATTTATAAAGGAAGAACTGAATTCCATGCCTGCCTATGGAGAGTGACATTTTTCCTTCCCTACTATTTATATATACCCAATTCAAATACATAATCTCTCAGATAGTCTTTGAAAGTTTATTAAATTTATCTGAGCTCCCCAAAACAGTAGCAATATCAGCATACCCTAGAGAATGTCAGGATGCATGGGGACGTGACTATAAAGTAATTTATGTATGACATATGAATTTTATATGATTATAATTTCAAACTGGGCCAGCATGATCATTTTATCAGTGGCAACATAATTGGACTAAGTATATAGCTTTGCCGTATGGCTGAAGATCATACAATCTAACTCATTTTGTTGTACAAGATTTATATGTTACTTTTTTTTAACAGTTTGCCATACAATTCACCCATTTAAAGTATGCAATTTAGTGTTTTTTAATATCTTCAGAGTTGTGCAACCATCACTACAATCTAGTTCCAGAACATTTTCATCACCCTGAAGAGAAACCTCATTCCCTGTATTTCCTCAATACCTCCCAACCCTTGGCAACCACTAATCTAGTTCCTGTTTCTATAAATTTGCCTGTTCTGGACATTTCATATAAATGGAATATTTTGTGACTGGCTTCTTTCACGTAGCATAATGTTTTTAAGGTTCATCCATGTAATAGCATGAATCAGTACTTTATTCCTTTTAGGGCCAAATGATATTCCATTGTATAGATAGACCACATTTTCTTTATTCATTTGTCAGTTAATGGATATGTTGGTTTTATGTTACTCTTTAAAAAGTTCTCTCATTGCTCTATAGTCTTATCCTGAGATACAATCTGAGTCATTTTTCTTATTTATTAGTTTGACATTAAGTGACTCTAGACTGCAGCTATTAAATAAAACCTCAACAAATGAAGAAATGTCTCCAGTTGGGGTGATTCAGAAAAGTGAATTATGGGTTCCACCTAATTACAGGATAGTTTTAAAATATTTTGAACAAAAACAGAATTATGGAATCCACAGAGTAGAAGAGACTTTAAAAATCTCCTTGTCTTAATTTTTGTTTTAGCAATGAAGAAAAAAACCTAAGACCAGAAAGAGGTTAAGTAGCATAGTAGCTGGAGTTAATGTGTGATTTTAAGGTTGTGCTTCTTTGAAAGGGTAAAGACTCTTTTGATGTAAATTATAGTGTATTTTTTCAAGTCCGTCTCTGTCTTTGGTATATAGTCCACTTTGTCTTATTCTTGTCTGAAAACATAAGTACACACTGGAACATGAATTTTTTCATTTCACTGTTTTTATTAGATGTTCCAGAAGAATCAGGAAGAGCTTTCTCAATCAATTTAATTAGTTAGCCCAATTTTTGACCATGTGGTAAAATTCATAATGCTGTTGCTTATCTGTTATGAATAATATTCATTATTCCTTGTTTTTCTTTTTTAGTGAGCATCACAAGTTTCATCCCACGTTTCAACTTTCTAAGCATAGATCTTCCAGTGATTGTGGAGACATTTGTCAAGTATCCTTTCTGGTGTGAAAAATGTTTTGAAAGTGTGTTACTTGGAGCTTGATCCCTTTTACCTTGAATAGAACATTACAAGTATAGACCTTACAAGTGTCACTTAATTGCTAACAGCTAAAAAAGAGACTTTAAAGTTAAAAGAGATCAGAATGTACAAACTAGGAGGGAATAAGTCAGAGGAGAAAGATTAGTCAGGAAGGGTGAAAGGTTAAGATGTGGAGAGGAAGGAACCCAGAATACAAATTGAGAATTAAATTTACAGGTCTAAAACCTTTTATTAAGTTTATAAAGGATGAAAGTTTCAGTTACTAGTGAGGTGATGAATTCTGCCCCATGGTTAGCCTGTTAGTTCTAACCAAATGGAGGATGACCCTTATATGCATAATCAGGAATCGTGTAAATCCATTCCACTGGTTCCAGGGAGGAATGCCTAAGAAAGACCAAGCCACTTTCTACTACTAAAATAGCAGTTCAGAGAACAAAATCTCATGCGGTCTTTAGCATATTATGTTTTCGTATAAAAATGAAATTTTAAAAAATTGACTATCATATAGAATTAACGAAAAGTTTTGGAAGGGTTCTTTATTTTTGTTGCTTTTAAATCTTTTTAGTTTCTTTCTTCAATGATTTACCAAAAAATGAGATGGCAAACAAATGAGCAGTTACTAAAAACACTGCGCATAATCAAGATTGTACCTTGTAGACTCTGCAGTTTTGTCGCAAAGAATCTTATGCTATAACCTTATAGATGATAGTAAAATAAAGTAGGGTTCGGGGGCCAAAAGCTTTGTTTCCTAATACAAAGTAATATTTTATAAAGATCAAAAAATAATTTTCCCTTATTTCTTAGTCCTTCCACATTTCTTTCCCTTGTATTATTAAAGGATTAGAAAGACTTAGTCTTCCTAGGAATTCGTTCTAGATTGGTTTAGTTTACAAGTGGTTGGCCTTTATTTTTCTAGTCAAACTTTTTGACCTCTGAAATAATATAAACTCATTTGTTTTAAATAGTAGAGATTTAAGAAGGAATGGCAGAGATTTAAAGAAAGTAGGGATGTAGTATCCCAAGAATGGAAAAACAAGCACCACATATACTCACCAGCAAACTGGTATTAACTGAGTAGCACCTAAGTGGACACATAGGTACTACAGTAATAGGGTATGGGCAGGGGGGAGGGGGTGGGTATATACATGCATAATGAGTGAGATGTGCACCATCTGGGGGATGGTCCTGCTGGAAACTCAGACTTGTGGGGGGAGGGGGGGAAAGGGCATTTATTGAAACCTTAAAATCTGTACCCCCATAATATGCCAAAATAAAAAATTTAAAAAAAGATAAAAAAAAAAAAAGAAAGTAGGGATGTAAACTGTAATCTCAAATTCAGTCGTAGTAAAATACCTTCTGACTCACAGAAATGTGGTTTCCACTCAGACTTCACAGTTGGCTCCTGTTTTTTGGGTTTTTTTGGTTTTTTGTTTTTTAGCGTATTATGGGGGTACAAGTGTTAAGGTTATATATATTGCACATGCCGCCTCCCCCTCCCATACAGTTGGCTCCTTAACTGATTTTAACCAGGTACCTGATTTCCCTCTCAGGAGCTCTGGCTATTGTTAATGCAGTGCCCTGCTTTGCTTTGGATGGACAATGGATTTTAAACTCTTTTCTGGATGCCACCCTTACCTCAGTGATCGGAGACAATGATGTCAAAGATCTGATAGGATTTTTCATATTGCTTGGTGGCAGTGTACTTTTGGCTGCCAATGTGACCCTGGGACTCTGGATGGTTACAGCACGGTAATATTTGCCCTCATTTTACAGAACCTCCGAATTATAATATACAGCTAGGTGGTATCCATTGCCATTGAAATCCTTACTTGGTGTGAAATATAAAGTGTTTCCTTAAAATTACATCTTAGCCAAACAACTTTGAGCTCCTCCTATATCCAGAGTACCCAAACTCTGTGGTGGGGAATAAACAGAAGAAATGAAAGGCATAGTCTCTAACTACACTCTAGTTTTAAAGACTGAACATACACTGATGCTTGTGGAACAATTTCTAAACAAGTACAAATTCATGTAATACCATTTTGTGTGACTACATATCATATTGAAATAGTATAAAGGAGAACAGAATTGGGTGGAATTAATTGGGAAAAACTTTTTGCAAAAGCATCATTAGTCAACATTTGAAGGAGACCAGACTTTAGCCAAGTGGAAGGGTCACTGTTTTCTTAGCCTGTATCTCTTGTTCTTTGTCTTGTTTGATAAGTATTTTAAAAGTTAATGTATATTGTTTTTTACTCTGAAAACTGAGGTCTGATTATAATTAATAAAATTTTATAAAAGAATCTGCTGATGTGAAAGAGAAAATCTTTGTCAAACGATGCCAAATAAATGAACAAAGTAGGAAGTAGGGTCTATGATATCATGAGACATGTTTTGCCCCACAAGAGTTGCCTCTTACAAGGTGTCTCTGCCCCATCATAAAGCAGCACTGGCCTTGACATTCAGAGTGAGCTGCAGGAAGTTTCTCACACCGGCAGCATGTGAGCTGAAGCAGTTAGGGTTGAACCTCAGAACTAAGCCAGGTCTTCTGACAGGCCACAGGACAGATCACAGGATCTTCAGCAGTCCTGGTGACCATTCTCTATAGAGCTTTGAAGCTTGGGAACCCTTCCAGAGCAGACATTTTCTCTTGTGCTGCTGAGGCCATCTGGTGCCTAGCTCCTGGTTTCCTGTCTTCAAAAAGCAATGACCTGGCCGGGCGCTGTGGCTCACGCCTGTAATCCTAGCTCTTGGGAGGCCGAGGCGGGCGGATTGCTCAAGGTCAGGAGTTCAAAACCAGCCTGAGCAAGAGCGAGACCCCGTCTCTACTATAAATAGAAAGAAATTAATTGGCCAACTGATATATATATAAAAAAAA